ATCATGGGTACAACGTAGTAAAGGGCAAGTTGAACTTATCTTGTAAGGATACCATGGGTACAACGTAGTGAAGGGCAAGTTAAACTTATCTTGTAAGGATACCACGGGTACAACGTAGTAAAGAGCAAGTTAAACTTATCTTGTAAGGATACCACGGGTACAACGTAGTAAAGGGCAAGTTAAACTTATCTTGTAGTGATATCATGGGTACAACGTAGTGAAGGGCAAGTTAAACTTATCTTGTAGTGATACCATGGGTACAACGTCGTTAAGGGCAAGTTAAACTTATCTTTTTTGAGGATATCATGGGTACAACGTAGTAAAGGGCAAGTTAAACTTATCTTGTAAGGATATCATGGGTACAACGTAGTGAAGGGCAAGTTAAACTTATCTTGTAAGGATACCACGGGTACAACGTAGTAAAGGGCAAGTTAAACTTATCTTGTAAGGATACCATGGGTACAACGTAGTGAAGGGCAAGTTACACTTATCTTGTAAGGATACCATGGGTACAACGTAGTAAAGGGCAAGTTACACTTATCTTGTAAGGATACCATGGGTACAACGTAGTAAAGGGCAAGTTAAAACTTATCTTATAAGGATACCACGGGTACAACGTAGAAAAGGGCAAGTTACACTTATCTTGTAAGGATACCATGGGTACAACGTAGTAAAGGGCAAGTTAAACTTATCTTGTAGTGATACCATGGGTACAACGTCGTTAAGGGCAAGTTAAACTTATCTTGTAAGGATACCATGGGTACAACGTCGTTAAGGGCATGTTAAACTTATCTTGTAAGGATACCATGCGTACAACGTAGTTAAGGGCAAGTTACACTTATCTTGTAAGGATACCACGGGTACAACGTAGTAAAGGGCAAGTTGAACTTATCTTGTAAGGATATCATGGGTACAACGAAGTGAAGGGCAAGTTCCACTTATCTTGTAAGGATACCATGGGTACAACGTAGTAAAGGGCAAGTTACACTTATCTTGTAAGGATATCATGGGTACAACGTAGAAAAGGGCAAGTTAAACTTATCTTGTAGTGATACCATGGGTACAACGTCGTTAAGGGCAAGTTAAACTTATCTTGTAAGGATATCATGGGTACAACGTAGTAAAGGGCAAGTTGAACTTATCTTGTAATGATATCACGGGTACAACGTAGTAAAGGGCAAGTTACACTTATCTTGTAAGGATACCATGGATACAACGTAGTGAAGGGCAAGTTAAACTTATCTTGTAGTGATACCATGGGTAAAACGTAGTGAAGGGCATGTTAAACTTATCTTGTAAGGATATCATGGGTACAACGTAGTAAATGGCAAGTTGAACTTATCTTGTAAGGATACCATCGGTACAACGTAGTGAAGGGCAAGTTAAACTTATCTTGTAAGGATACCACGGGTACAACGTAGTAAAGAGCAAGTTAAACTTATCTTGTAAGGATACCATGGGTACAACGTGGTATAGGGCAAGTGAAACTTATCTTGTAATGATATCATGGGTACAACGTAGTGAAGGGCAAGTTAAACTTATCTTGTAGTGATACCATGGGTACAACGTCGTTAAGGGCAAGTTAAACTTATCTTTTAAGGATATCATGGGTACAACGTAGTAAAGGGCAAGTTAAACTTATCTTGTAAGGATATCAAGGGTACAACGTAGTGAAGGGCAAGTTAAACTTATCTTGTAAGGATACCACGGGTACAACGTAGTAAAGGGCAAGTTAAACTTATCTTGTAAGGATACCATGGGTACAACGTAGTGAAGGGCAAGTTACACTTATCTTGTAAGGATACCATGGGTACAACGTAGTAAAGGGCAAGTTACACTTATCTTGTAAGGATGCCATGGGTACAACGTAGAAAAGGGCAAGTTACACTTATCTTGTACGGATACCATGGGTACAACGTAGTAAAGGGCAAGTTAAACTTATCTTGTAGTGATACCATGGGTACAACGTCGTTAAGGGCAAGTTAAACTTATCTTGTAAGGATACCATGGGTACAACGTCGTTAAGGGCATGTTAAACTTATCTTGTAAGGATACCATGCGTACAACGTAGTTAAGGGCAAGTTACACTTATCTTGTAAGGATACCACGGGTACAACGTAGTAAAGGGCAAGTTGAACTTATCTTGTAAGGATATCATGGGTACAACGAAGTGAAGGGCAAGTTCCACTTATCTTGTAAGGATACCATGGGTACAACGTAGTAAAGGGCAAGTTACACTTATCTTGTAAGGATATCATGGGTACAACGTAGAAAAGGGCAAGTTAAACTTATCTTGTAGTGATACCATGGGTACAACGTCGTTAAGGGCAAGTTAAACTTATCTTGTAAGGATATCATGGGTACAACGTAGTAAAGGGCAAGTTAAACTTATCTTGTAAGGATACCATGGGTACAACGTCGTTAAGGGCAAGTTAAACTTATCTTGTAAGGATACCATGGGTACAAAGTAGTAAAGGGCAAGTTTAACTTATCTTGTAAGGATACCATGCGTACAACGTAGTTAAGGGCAAGTTGAACTTATCTTGTAAGGATGATGAACATTTTTTCTAGAATCACGTATCGTGCACTATACGTTTACACTAATATCACTAGCTAGTGTACTCAGTCCTGAAGAATCATCTTTCGCCCATTAGCCAGTGCTTTGGTACAAGATGCATTATATAGATTATTAATTTTATAAGTAGTTTTTTTTTTAATTGTACTAAAAACAAGTTTGAAACTTTGCAAGGCAAAAAGGAAGTTACACGAATTTTGTTTTTAGTTTGTTATTTGTATTTCTGTTCTCAGTCGTTCTGATCTCGGGCATACGTGATCAACGTTATTCCAGAGTTTCAAAAGTATACTATAATTCATAATATCGGATCTACTGACAACAATCACGTCTGCAAATTAATTAAATGTTAGTTATGTTCTAGCACAGGGGCTCTTTTTTACAAAATATCTTACGACAAAAATTGATCGTAAGTTATACTAAATGTTCATGACTTGCGACTGTTTTTCTCGTAAGATTTTTTGTGAAATGAGTCGCTGGGTCGTAACCACTGAATATGGACTGTTCCCGAGGGTATCATCAGCTCAGTTGTCAGTGGTTCGGTACTGACACGATTTATAACATATCTGTCTGAAGTTTTCCGGTGATAAATGTTATTTCTGCCGTGGACCAGGTTTAATCTTTCAGAGGTTTCTCATTTAGTCATGCAGAGGTATTTTATAGTTGATATATAATGGGTGTTTTGCTCATTATTGTAGGTGGTACAGTGCATACTAGTTTTTTTGCTCATTATTGTAGGTGGTACAGTGTATAATAGTTGTTTTGCTCATTATTGTAGGTGGTACAGTGTATAATAGTTGTTTTGCTCATTATTGTAGGTGGTACAGTGTATAATAGTTGTTTTGCTCATTATTGTAGGTGGTACAGTGTATAATAGTTGTTTTGCTCATTATTGTAGGTGGTACAGTGTATAATAGTTGTTTTGCTCGTTATTGTAGGTGGTACAGTGTATAATAGTTGTTTTGTTCATTATTGTAGGTGGTACAGTGTATAGTAGGTGTTTTGCTCATCATTGTAGGTGGTACAGTGTATAATAGTTGTTTTGCTCATCATTGTAGGTGGTACAGTGTATAATAGTTGTTTTGCTCATCATTGTAGGTGATATGTTTTGCTCATTATTGTAGGTGGTACAGTGTATAATAGTTGTTTTGCTCATTATTGTAGGTGGTACAGTGTATAATAGTTGTTTTGCTCATTATTGTAGGTGGTACAGTGTATAATAGTTGTTTTGCTCATTATTGTAGGTGGTACAGTGTATAATAGTTGTTTTGCTCATTATTGTAGGTGGTACAGTGTATAATAGTTGTTTTGCTCATTATTGTAGGTGGTACAGTGTATAATAGTTGTTTACATCCTCGGCCTTTCTGTTGGATAGTTGTCTTATCGACAAGCATATCAAAATTTTGGAAATTATTTTAAATTAAGGAATATATCTCCCTCAATGCAAAGCTCTGATTCCTTGTCCGAATTTGGCTATACTTTAGATTCTTTTGGATTGATCCGCTGTTCACCATTTGTATGATACTTTGAATATTCCAATATATTTTGGCCTCGAACATCACTGAAGAGACAATATGTGTCGAAATGAGCATCTAGTGCCGAAAAATTGGTACCGTTAATGTTATTATCACATCTCTTTATTTATCATTTTCTAAATTATTGAGACACCAAGATTCAAACTCCCTCAGTCAAATTTTGTCCCTTTTTGGTCACGTTTTCAAGTAGAGTCGGGTGCCCATATTCGCCACCTAAAACAGTTTTTTTTTGTAAACCCAACGTATGCCGCTTCATGGAAACTTACATTGTTCATTGGTTTAATAAAATTAGATAATTAATAAAGTTAACCGGATTTTAAGATTGTTCCATGATCACAAATTTTTGAAAGTATAATACGTACAAACATGAGAAAATAATAGTGTTTCTATTTGGCATGGGGGCATTTCAAATCGAAATTATTAGTTGATGAAAAATAGATTTACCTTAACTGCGCACGAGTATATAAATTGTTTTTAAAAACACAAGTTAAACATATCAATTTTTCATAGTTCTAATTAGTTTAAAAATAAATATCTGATTCTACAGATTTGATCGGAATTGCTTTTTTCATAAATTGAGAAATGAGCAAAATTTCGTTTGAAAATCTTTGGTAAGCACTGCGCAAACATTATTGATTTCAAAATTTTGGGTTTAGCGTTCCTGGTGAAGATACGTGTGTAAATCCAAAAAGCGCTTCGGAAGCACCAAATTTATATTCATCATCTGCAAGTGAATCAATACTGTGTAAAACAAGTGTTGTATCAAAGAACGCTCGCTATTATTTAGAGCTCGGCGAGAGTGTTAAATCTGTTCACATAGAAATCATGGTATCACTTATCTCAATGAGACTGCAGTTTCATTTAACAGTTAACCAATATTATTGCTAATTTACCTCCAAGTTTGTAAACTGTATGTATAGGTACACGTAATGGCCGGTCTGTCATGCGAAATGGCATTTCTGAGCTGTCTATTGCATCTAAGAGTGTTTTTCCGGAAGCACCACCTGATCTTCGTTTTACCTTCCAAGAGGAAAACCAAGGCATTTTGGAGCTTGGTGTAATTAAATTATCACCTTCCCAACCAGAAATAGGAATAAATGGTACAGTTTCCACGTCAAAACCAACTTTCTTTGCAAGAAGAGCAATATTATCTATACAGTATCTAAATCGTACCTAAAGTGAAGCAAAATAAAAATCATATAAATCAATATTTTTTTTATAAATAGACGGACAAGTATCGCACTCAACAAAAATTTACCAAGCAATAAACATATGACGATTATTAGAAAAAATCCCAAGTCAGATGTTTATATATTTTTTGTAGAATAAAGAATTTCCAGTGGCATATTACAAACTCAAAACGAAAAATGGTGAAAAATTTAGAAAAAAAAAAAAAAAATACAAAGTTCCATGCAAAGGTATCCAGGAGGTATATAGCGTTTATACTTTTGATTGTTGTCACTGTGAACGGTTAAAATAACCAATAATCAACTTTATAATTTTAAGACAGAATGCATATATATTTACGTGGACCTACTTCATTATAAGCAGGGTCAATAGAGTCCATTTTGGAGATCACTACAATGAGTTGCTTAATGCCAGTATTGTAGGCCAGCTGTAGATGTTCTCTCGTTTGTCCTCTTTTTTTTAGACCTGATTCAAATTCTCCATGTTCTGCAGACGCTACTAACAAAGCGACATCACCCTGTAAAGAAAATAAAACGGCAACTTTGTTCTATTATAGATATTCTTTATCTATTTCATGAAATATATATTCTATCACTGTATCGAGTGTGGTGCTATAGTTCTTCCTTGGAGACAGTTATAAAAGTAGAGAAATATCGTATCGCTCGAGATGCTGTTGCTCCAAAGGATTTTTAAATTACAATAATCCTTCTAAACATAATGATGTATTGTCTCATTTTTTCGTGCGGTATCAGAGGGAAGGAAGAACAATTGACGTCACAATTTAAATTTATCCATGAAGAACTGAGACCAAGCGACATGCATGGCTTTAAACAAATGCAGCGCTTACAACATATGTTTAAGAAATAACTCATGGGGGCTTGAATTCATATTGATTTTACCACGGGTTGGCCCTTATGCTTAATATTTTACCACGAACGATAGGGAGGGGTAAAATATCGATAAAAAGGTCCAACCCGTGGTAAAATAAGCTGAAATATCAATACATTCATATTTTATCACTGGTGTGTACTCGAAACGTTTGAAAACGTCATATTAAAATGTAATACTATCACTGTTCAGTTGCATGAGTTAAATGTTTTACTTTATGCCAAATGCCTAGGTATTACCTGTAAGGACATCACGTCTCAGTTAAATGTAACATCACCAACTGACAATTCTTATGGCTAGTCAATTCGTAATGAAAACTTTGTGATGAAGAGGTGTATAAGATTTTAATCAAATAAATTGTTTTATATGTACACGTGCCACTCGTATTTTATATTATGTAATCTATATTTGTTGAACGTTTATTTCAATAGAGAACTTGTATGCACAATTGATTTCGTCTTTTTCTTTGAAATTAGTTATACCTGTGTGGTCCCAGTAACCATATTATGTACATAATCTTTATGTCCAGGGACGTCAATCATATTAACGTGGAATCGTCTGGAATCGAGCCGTCTTATTTTACTGTCAATAGTTACACCTCGTTGTCTCTCAGCTTTAAGTCGATCCATAACCCAGGCAAATTTAAAGGACGACTTGCCACACTGCAGAGATATATTACAGAAAAAACATTTCATATCCGATGAAACAACATAGAATAGCTTCAGAGCACGGTAGAGACCAATACAGCTGTGCATTGCTTCAGAATGGCATGCGAACTTTCATGAAACGAATGAATAACAATCCATCAAAATATATCAGTTGAAAAAAAAGATCACTACTTAAATACTGTAATTCTTCTAACGTTGCAACCTTAACGTATATTAAAAAAAATGCTCACACTCTTTGCTATATAAGTAGAAAACGAGTCCTATTTATATATTCATAAAAATACTTAGTCATATAAGGATATTTTTGCAAACTCTTTTTTTTCCCCCTTCATTTTTTAAGTCCATTTCTAAGTTTTTACACCCCTGGATTTTTTCCCTTTTCCCAAAACTCTACCTTTTACGCTGCAACAACATTCATGTTTTGAAAGCAATACTGCTTTAACATATTTCATAACAGTAAATACACTGTACACACACATACATAGATAAGCATTACCATTTCAGATTCTTTTGCTAGTTGGTTGATAGTTTCGTTGTCAACTGCATCACATTTATGAGCTAAATGACCGATCATTGTTGACTTGCCATGATCAACGTGACCTATGACGACTACATTCAAAAAAGTTTTGATGACATCTAGTCTGCTTGATGGTTGCCGCGGGAGACGAGGATTTTCAACAACCACATTTTCTCTAGGAGAGTCTTCATCATCTGACGATGAACTAAGCGAAACTGAATGAGAATCGTCTGATGGGATGTCTATTTCAGCTTCATCCTTAGGGTCATCCGAATCTTTAAAATATAAACAAGAACATATTTTGTATTTAAAATGGCAAAAGCACTATAAAAATACGAAATAGACCATAAAAGATAAGATATCCCTGTCCACCAATTACTCTGGTTTACAGTAAATATCACCACATGATGTCACTTAATTTTCTGCGTTAGTATCCTTTCCTGGCAGCACCTGCTATATTTTTACGAATAATTTTTTTTTAATAATTATCAATTCAATTTTGAACATTTTTTCCAATTGCTTAGGAAGTTTAAAATATAAATTGGTTCATATATAACTTTATTATCCTATAATATGGTACTAGTAAGTTTAGTCCACAGATGTGAATTATGATACTAATGATGTTGTTAACGATATCATATAAAAGTAACAAACATGTATTTAAAAAAACATTGCCGTATTAGCTTATGCGAAAAGATATTCGGATTTCTTTTTTATTATTGATGTCTGAAAGCCTAGAAAAGAGGTAGAAGATATAAAGGGACAATCAAGGAGATCCATAATTGGTCGACAACACATGATATAAAGAAAAGAGAAAGACTATGAACCAAACAACAGTCCTTAAGGAAGTTTGCTCCTCTTATTTTTGAATGTTTGCCAGATATTCGGAATCCTCTGGTTTTATCCAAGTAGTACCATTCAAATTTTGCCGGCTAACCCCTACTTTTCTTTTCATAATTTTATTACATGTAGTTTCAAAAGCCATATTTGAATATCTTATAATATCCTTGTTATTTTTTCATAGTTTTTGAAAGAAAAAAGGTGCCAATGTTAAATGTAGGAAAAATCTAGAGAGAATTATTTCCCGCCAAATTTTAAATGGCTTATATATCGAAAACAAGCACACGGACCCTTAATTTTTTCTGCTTATTTAGTTCCTTTATTTAATAAGTCTCCCAAACGAAGTTTGGGAAGACTTATTGTTTTTGTTCAGTTCTTATTATTATTATTATTCTTCTTCTTCTTCTTCTTCTTCTTCCGCCGCTTTTAAATTTGAACTTGTCCGCACCCGTTCTCCAAAACCGCTTGTCAGATTAACTTAGGGTTTCACAATATGTTAGACTAACATGTCTAGTGGTGCAATCAGGGTTTTGTTTGTGCAATGGGGTTTATAAAGGGGTACTTTGAGGGGCAAAAAGAAAAGAGGGTTTTACTATAGAACCCTATGGGATTTTATTTTTTTTAATTTTCAAATGATTATAAATTGAAAACCGTTTGTGATAGACACAATCTTTTTAATTGAAAATGTTCTAAATGATAAAGCCCATTAAATGAAATACAGGGTTAGTCCCCAGGGGTCACCCCAACCCCCTGCCATTTAAGGAAGTTCTTATACCTTGTAAGTGGTCAAGATCCCCACCCCTAAACCATATATATTCTGGTTTGTCATGATAAAGCACATCAAATGTAATACAGGGTTAGTCCCCAGGGGTCACCCCCACCCCCTGCCATTTAAGAAAGTTCTAGTATCTTCTAAGTGGTCAAGATCCCCACCCCTAAACCATATATATTCTGGTTTGTCATGCTAAGATGGTTTGAATGATATACAGGGTTAGTCCCCAGGGGTCATCCCGACCCCCTGCCATTTGAGAAAGTTCTAATATCTTGTAAATGGTCGAGATCCCCACCCCTAAACCATATATATTCTGGTTTGTCATGATAAAGCTCATCAAATGAAATACAGGGTTAGTCCCCAGGGGTCACCCCCACCCCCTCCCATTTAAGAAAGTTCTAATATCTTCTAAGTGGTCAAGATCCCCACTCCTAAACCATATATATTCTGGTTTGTCATGCTAAGATGGTTTGAATGATATACAGGGTTAGTCCCCAGGGGTCATCCCGACCCCCTGCCATTTGAGAAAGTTCTAATATCTTGTAAATGGTCGAGATCCCCACCCCTAAACCATATATATTCTGGTTTGTCATGATAAAGCACATCAAATGAAATACAGGGTTAGTCCCCAGGGGTCACCCCCACCCCTTGCCATTTAAGAAAGTTCTAGTATCTTCTAAGTGGTCAAGATCCCCACCCCTAAACCATATATATTCTGGTTTGTCATGCTAAGATGGTTTGGATGATATACAGGGTTAGTCCCCAGGGGTCATCCCGACCCCCTGCCATTTGAGAAAGTTCTAATATCTTGTAAATGGTCGAGATCCCCACCCCTAAACCATATATATTCTGGTTTGTCATGATAAAGCTCATCAAATGAAATACAGGGTTAGTCCCCAGGGGTCACCCCCACCCCCTCCCATTTAAGAAAATTCTAATATCTTCTAAGTGGTCAAGATCCCCACTCCTAAACCATATATATTCTGGTTTGTCATGCTAAGATGGTTTGAATGATATACAGGGTTAGTCTCCAGGGGTCATCCCGACCCCCTGCCATTTGAGAAAGTTCTAATATCTTGTAAATGGTCGAGATCCCCACCCCTAAACCATATATATTCTGGTTTGTCATGCCAAGATGATTTGAATGATATACAAGGTTAGTCCCCAGGCATCACTAATGCATATAACTTTACTGGACCAAACCAATTTTCACTGGACGTTGCCCAATGTCAGGCGACCTTGGGAATTACGAATTATGGGAGCTTCGTTTGGGAGACTTCGTAACAGCATCCTGTTACAATCATTTCTTGTTTACTATCAGTTTATAACAATCTTTTAAAAAGCTTGTTATTTTGAAACAGAATAGCGAACATCCTTAAAAAGTAAAGGTTGAAATGTGTGAACCAAATCACAAACCGGGTACTCTTAACTCTTAACAAAGACTGAAGCAATATCTTATAAACAAATACCTTGGTATAATGGTACGCCATTGCTATTTGTATATGGAAAATAAGTCTTCTCTAGTTCTGAAATTGAGGGTGAAAAACGTAATTAATAACAGGTTATATGTATTATTTATCATTTTGTGAAAATCAAGTCTAATCACTGGAAGTCTTCGTTAGAATATAGATAACATTCCATATTATATATCATCCGGAGGAAGATCAGTATTTCAAAACGCAGATGTTTTGCTGCCGGTAATTATCCAATTTCTTCTTTAATGGGAAAAAACAAACAAACATGAAAAAACAAGGACCCTATAACTTATATTCATAATATTATCATATATTTAGTATCTAAACAAGATAAATACACGATGGTTTTCAGTATATAATTCACGTGTTACTCATTTAGTACTTCATTTATATTTTTGGTACATATTTTCTGTACACCATCAAATGTTGTTTTGCACCCACCGATTTAACACACTGATTGTTTGATGTAATAAGATACTTATTGATTCCTACTTTATCTTTGAAATGTAATCACTCATTCTGATTTGTGCAATCCCAGAACATCCGATGTTTCCTTAGGCATGTCAATATCGGGAAATGTTGAAGCTAATAAGTGATATACTGCATATCTTAATAATTGAGCACTAAAGTACAAGGAGATATCAATCGTTGTTCTTAAATCAACTTTGGCTGAAGCGGCATCATTTTAGTATTGCAGCAAGGTTGTATTAAAAATGAATTGTATTTTAGGGAAAAGAATGAATGGAAAGAATTTACCATAATTAATATTTTATTCGTTGAACTTCGAAACAAGTTATGAACCAGAAACGGGTTAATCAAAAATAGTCTAGCCCCATGTATAATGTTACCGTATGCGTACTTGCCCCATGTATGATGTTACTGTTTACGTACTAGCCCCATTAATAATGTTACTGTTTACGTACTAGCCCCATGTATGATGTTACTGTTTACGTACTAGCCCCATGTATAATGTTACTGTATGCATACTAGCCCCATGTATAATGTTACTGTTTACGTACTAGCCCCATGTATAATGTTACTGTATGCGTACTAGCCCCATGTATAATGTTACTGTTTACGTACTAGCCCCATGTATAATGTTACTGTATGCGTACTAGCCCCATGTATGATGTTACTGTTTACGTACTAGCCCCATGTATGATGTTACTGTTTACGTACTAGCCCCATGTATGATGTTACTGTTTACGTACTAGCCCCATGTATAATGTTACTGTTTACGTACTAGCCCCATGTATAATGTTACTGTTTACGTACTAGCCCCATGTATGATGTTACTGTTTACGTACTAGCCCCATGTATAATGTTACTGTTTACGTACTAGCCCCATGTATAATGTTACAGTTTACTAGCCCCATGTATGATGTTACTGTTTACGTACTAGCCCCATGTATAATGTTACTGTTTACGTACTAGCCCCATGTATGATGTTACTGTTTACGTACTAGCCCCATGTATAATGTTACTGTATGCATACTAGCCCCATGTATAATGTTACTGTTTACGTACTAGCCCCATGTATAATGTTACTGTATGCGTACTAGCCCCATGTATAATGTTACTGTTTACGTACTAGCCCCATGTATAATGTTACTGTATGCGTACTAGCCCCATGTATAATGTTACTGTTTACGTACTAGCCCCATGTATGATGTTACTGTTTACGTACTAGCCCCATGTATGATGTTACTGTTTACGTACTAGCCCCATGTATAATGTTACTGTTTACGTACTAGCCCCATGTATAATGTTACTGTTTACGTACTAGCCCCATGTATGATGTTACTGTTTACGTACTAGCCCCATGTATAATGTTACTGTTTACGTACTAGCCCCATGTATAATGTTACAGTTTACTAGCCCCATGTATGATGTTACTGTTTACGTACTAGCCCCATGTATAATGTTACTGTTTACGTACTAGCCCCATGTATAATCTTACTGTTTACGTACTAGCCCCATGTATAATGTTACTGTTTACGTACTAGCCCCATGTATAATGTTACTGTTTACGTACTAGCCCCATGTATAATGTTACTGTTTACGTACTAGCCCCATGTATAATGTTACTGTTTACGTACTAGCCCCATGTATGATGTTACTGTTTACGTACTAGCCCCATGTATGATGCTACTGTTTACGTACTAGCCCCATGTATAATGTTACTGTATGCGTACTTGCCCCATGTATAATGTTACTGTTTACGTACTAGCCCCATGTATAATGTTACTGTTTACGTACTAGCCCCATGTATAATGTTACTGTTTACGTACTAGCCCCATGTATGATTTTACTGTTTACGTACTTGCCCCATGTATAATGTTACTGTTTACGTAAAGTTGAATTGTTAACTAACAATTTGGATCAGTTCTGATCTCTCATAGAATGTGTCAGAACTTCTTCTTCTAGGACATTTTTCAACAATTCTGTTCTAGAAAAGAACCTGAAAGTTCGATCCGTGAACAGTTTGAACAGTTCTACCCCACAACAGACTCTAAAAGTTCGACCCTATGATAGTTTGGGATAATTCTACCTTAGGACAGACCCTAAAAGTTATGTCCTAGAACAATTTTGAACAATTCTACCCTAGAACACACCCCGAAAGTTCTATTCGTGAACAGTTTTAAACAGTTCTATCACACAACAGATTCTGGAAGTTGTACTCTACAAGAGTTTTCACTAAAACAGACCCATAAAGTTCTATACTAGAACATATTCTGGCAGTTTTACACTAGACAGTATTGGACAGTTTTACACTAGACACTGTTGGACAGTTTTACACTAGACAGTATTTGGCAGTTTTACACTAGAACAGATTCTGACAATTCTCCCTTAGAATAGATTCATAGAAGCGGAAATATTGTCAGTTTCAAATTCTTTAGTTTCTAATTGCTTTGGTACTGTTTCCAAAATAAAGATAGTTGAGCTGCTATTACACGAGCTATATATTTTTTTTCTCTATCTCAAAATTTGACAGTTTAATTGTGAAATTCAAAAGGAGTAGGGCAAATTTCCCCTGTATTTGATTAACTCACAGGGGCAAAATTTAAAATATGTCAAATTCTACTGGAAACTGAATATAAGAGTGACTATAGCATATTATTAGTTACATGGTGTGTTAGTGACCTAATACGATATATATATATATATGGGTCAGTAAATTCCGTATGGGATGAGAGCGAAGCTCGAATCCCAAAATGGAATTTACTGACCCCATATATATCGTATTAGGTCACTAGCACACCGTTTAACGAATTGATCTTACCGGCTATTTTCACATGTGGTATTTAGACTAGCGGCCTATCAAAGTGATTAAGTCTTCAATACTTAGTATTAAGAACCTACTTCCATTTGTCTATACAAAAAACAAATGCCAATAATAACAAGTTGTTAGCTTTAATCTCTTAACTAACCCCATATGGTAACTAACCCCATATTTTTTAGGACACCCTATATCAAATATATGTTGTCACCACGTGTAGTCCTTTAACCAATCATATCCCCAGAAATCTATAGGAGGTAAGATAAACTTAAAATAGTGTTTAACAATTTCACATATATATGTCCATACAATTAACATATTCAGCGATACATGTTGCTGTTGGATGCATTTTTATACAAAAAGGCAAATTTTACATGCATCGAAGGCCATCGATAACAAAAAAGAACTTAATTAATAGAACGACAATAGTTTTACTTCCAACATAACTTTTGTTTGGTTAATGATGTCTTCTTGTACTTTTTTGGAGCATATACTCAAAATTTGTCAAAATCTCTCAATGATATGGTTTTGAAAAAAGTAAAATAACAAAAATACCGAACTCCGAGGAAAATTCAAAACGGAAAGTCCCTGAACATTCTTCTGGCGTTTATTATTTGAGATAATTAGAAATGAGCAAAAATATTGTTAGAACCTTATAGTACACATATTTGACTTGATACTATGAATTTCAGTAAAGATTGATAGACTCTTTGAAAATGGCCCCGGTTTGAAATGAATTCAGGGGATTGACCCTACTCTTTTAAATATTGCATTGTTCTAATTGTTAACAATATACACACCTTCTGGCGTGGCACCTCTAACCGTTTTCAAAATGGACGCTGACGGCACGTGTTTGTGTTCTATTTCGACATTCGGTAGGTTGTCGTCTGTGCCTTCTGATGAAGGTGTGCCCAACAATTGAACGCCACCAAACGACACGTTAGCTGTTTTTGCTGACATTGGATATGGTGATTTCTTTATATTTGAAACTATTTCTCCCATCGCTCTCGCTGTAGACAAGGTAGTTTTTTGTTTTTCAATGGAGGGTCTTCTCGCACCATTCATCTGTACTATAGGAGGTTTCATATCTTTTCCAGAAGTTGGTTTCTTTGTTTCGTTTGCTCTAGATTGTTTCTTTTCTCCGTTTTGTAATGATGTCGAGTCTTTCTCTTTTTCAATTTTTAGAACTTCATCTTTCTTTCTTGAATGTGCGGAGTCTTGTTGATCTATTGATCTCTTTCTAGGACCTTTAGCAGTAGCAATTTCCACCCTTATTCTCGCAGTGTATAGATTCCTCTGTTTCTTTGCATTACTCATGTTTACTTCTGTGTACGCAGGTTGTGATACATGTTAATTGTAGAGCTATTTTGCGCGTTTTTCAAGATCTTCTTAATGAAGCTGTCAATCAGCAGACTATAAAAAAACAAATAGCAATGATAACATATTAAACAATACCAATAACTTATTAAACAATACCAACGACATAAAATCAATACCAATTACATGAAAAACAATACCAATAACATAAAAACAATACCAGTTACATCCAATTATGACAAACAATTTACGTATATATTAATGAAATATGAAAGCCCTATGTATGTTTATGTCCAACTATGATGAACAAATCATGTACACATTAATGTAGTATGAAATCTCTATGTATGTGTATGTCTAACTATGACGAACAAGTCATGTACATATTAATGTAGTATGAAAGCCCTATGTATGTTTATGTCCGACTATGACGAACAATTTATGTATATATTAATGTAGTATGAAAGCCCTATGTATGTTTATGTCTAACTATGACGAACAAGTCATGTACATATTAATGTAGTATGAAAGCCCTATGTATGTTTATGTCCGACTATGATGAACAAGTCTTGTACACATTAATGTAGTATGAAAGCTCTATGTATGTGTATGTCTAACTATGACGAACAATTTATGTACATATTGATGTAGTATGAGAGCCCTACGTATGTTTATGTCCAACTATGACGAACAAATCATGTACATATTAATGTAGTGTGAAAGCCCTATGTGTGTTTAGTCTAACTATGACGAACAAGTCATGTACACATTAATGTAGTATGAAAGCCCTGTGTATGTTTATGTCTAACTATGACGAACAAGTCTTGTACACATTAATGTAGTATGAAAGCTCTATGTATGTGTATGTCTAACTATGACGAACAATTTATGTACATATTGATGTAGTATGAGAGCCCTACGTATGTTTATGTCTAACTATGACGAACAAATCATGTACATATTAATGTAGTGTGAAAGCCCTATGTGTGTTTAGTCTAACTATGACGAACAAGTCACGTACACATTAATGTAGTATGAAAGCCCTATGTATGTTTATGTCCGACTATGACGAACAAGTCATGAACACATTAATGTAGCATGAAAGCCCTATGTTTTTTTTATGTCCGACTATGACGAACAAGTCATGTACATATTAATCTAGTATGAAAGCCCTATGTATGTTTATGTCCAACTATGACGAACAATTTATGTACATATTAATGTAGTATGAAAACCCTATGTCCAACTATGACGAAGAAGTCATGTACATATTAATGTAGTATGAAAGCCCTATGTATGTCTATGTCCAACTATGACGAACAATTTATGTACATATTAATGTTGAATGAAAGCGCTATGTATGTTTATGTCCAACTATGACGAACAAATCGTGTACATATAAATGTAGTAGGAAAGCACATATAAATGTAGTAGGAAAGCCCTATGTATTTTCATGTCCAATTATGACAACAATAATTCCATTACCTGTCTGTTCTAGAAAAGACATAAATATATATATACAGGTTCATCTAAAAAAGACCGAAAATAAAATCAAACTTTCCTTACCTTTTTGTATTTCACTTGTTCTAAATATTTTATGTTTAATAGGAAAAGATTCGTCTGTACTTTATATATATATAAAGCTGATTAACCAGCATTATGAATGCTAATCCGTTCTGTTAAGGTCGTTTATTACACAGATAATTAAAGTATTACTGAGTGTATCGATAGAGAGGGTTTAACATCCACTTATACATGTTATGTGTATGCTTACATGTATGTAATAATATTCCACACTTTCCATAAAGAAAAAAGTAGTATTCAGCTCATCATAGATACCAGGCTTAAACTTGTGTACACCAGATGCGCGTTTCGTCTACAAAAGACACATAAAAATAAAAAATAATTTAAAAGGCAAAATAAAGTACGAAGTATTAGAGCATTGAGGACCTAAAAATTCGAAAGGTTTATCCAAATATAGCTATCTAAGGTTATCTTTTCCTGGAGTAGAAAATCCTTAGTATTTCGAAAAAAATGAAAGTATGTGGAATCCTACTTGATTAAAACATTTGAATCTGAAATTAAAACTTTAAACACAAAACATCGGTATATATTTTACAGTTTTATACCATGTGATATAAACTGTACGTTATAAAGATGAATATAAGATAAATTTTAATAAGGCTAAGTACTCCAAATTGATTTATAGTTCTTCGGATTTGCTCGCTCAAAATTTGTTTTATTGTCATTAGCTGAAGCCTTCCTTAATTAACAGAAATTATTTTTAATTCCTAAAAACACAAGTTTTGTAGAACATAATTTAAATACGCCGTCCTCTCACCATATTTCAGGTATCGCTTGCTAGGAGATTAATTTACTTAACATGTATGTACCGATTATCAGGTTGTCTGTATATTGATATTGTAACTTTTGAATATATCAGTTGCGAGACACAAAATGAGGTTTTTTGTCGAGTGAGCGCAGCAAACGAGTTCAAAAAGGCTTCATATTGTGTCGAGCAGCTGATTTTTATAATATCAATATGTAGACAACCTGATAATCGGTTTATCGGATTGTATTTGTGTATTTGCATGATAGAAACAAATGTTTTTCTTTCAGGTTTCACCAGCAAACCGGAAGATGACGTGATAAGTCAGGGACAAAACAGTCAGATATGTCTGTCCAATGGATAGAAATGTTCAAGAAACCAAAATTTTGAGTAAATGTCTAAAATTTACTCTCCGTTTATCTCAAAACTAGCATATGAAGGTATATATTTTTATTACATATTTGAATTATCTATCAGTGGAATCAAAACTGTATCGTATGCCATTAACGTATCAAATTACTCAGTTACTGTTGTTATTCTTTAGGTGTGGTAAATAAGTCAAAATAAATACATGATATCAAATGTGTTGTTTGGGAAGAAAAAAGACTTATTCTGATATAAAAGAGGTGACTGGAGGTAGTTTAATTTAAAAGTTTATTATTACTATCCATTCATCGTAAAACTAGGTACCTTAATTATTAACAGCTATATTTATCAATTTGTAAATATAGTAAATCTCATGTAAGTATTACGAATTTGCTTGATAATTAACATTTGTTACCTAGCATATTCATAATATCAGTTTAAGTTCTTCCAGTCAGCTATGAGTTAGTTTTGAAATAAATCAATTTTGTTTTTCAGCTGTTCCGTTGATTGATAGCGTTTGATGTTGTCAGTTTTTATGGACTTTTCCCTTTTTATAATTGGCCTTTGAGTTCAGTATGTTTGTTATACTTTTGTATTGTTATTATGTTTATGTGTTGTTTTGTTTGAAGGTTATACATACTGACTGTACCTTGTTGTGTTGAGATGGCTTACCTAGGCTCGTCCTGTTGCTCAATTCAATTTATTTTAAATAAAATACTGTTTAAACTAAACTAACCTGAAATATTAATTTCGGAGAAAAAAAATTATAAAAATGAAAATTTCGATTGTTCGCTCTAATTTTCGTACATAGATTATAAAGAACAAGTATTTAATTTTGAGTGGCCTAAGTACTATACTAATAATGTTTTCTTTTTATTTCAACTCATTATTCATATTTACAATATATATTATCATACTTCACGTTAAAATGACAACATTTTATTGGTTAATATGAGGGAAATATTTTACTCTTTCCTATTGCTCAGGGGGAGACTTTTTTTTTTGAATTTCACCCTCTTGTACAGACCAATTATAAAATATAAATCGATGATTGAATTTACATCCATAATTTTAAACACACTACTGCAGTTCTACGTTTCGGCCTCGGGCTTTTTTATAGATTGTCAACATAAAACAAAAAACATCTTGCTTTTCTTTTGTTTCCTTTCTTATGACAGTTACGAAATTATAGTTTATTACGTTCATGTTAAAATTCAAAAGACAATAATGACAGAAAATGCAGTATAATAAATTAAATAACGCTTAACGTAAAGGGGTATAGAGCAGATTGTTACCCCTCGAAACATTGTCAACCTTGGCTTCGCATCGGTTGACAATGTTTCTCGGAGTAAAAATCGGATGATTCGTCTTGCAATCAATGAAATATCAGTATCTGTATGATATAAACAATTACTGTACATTTCATATATCTATGGGGTCATCTAAAAGATAACGATCTCAGTTGGAAAAATAGTGACAAATTTTCATCTTTCAAATTGAACTATTCCATGTTTGGCACGTTCTCCACAAGAGCGCTATTGATTTTATTTTATGTTCATTAGAAAAGTTAACGTTCTAGTAAATAGAAGATGAAACAAATAATAATTAATAAATAGTCATAAAAAACGGAGATGTAGTATGATTGCATATGAAGCAACTACCCACCAAAGTTCAAATGACGATTATATAATCAATTATAGTTTACTATACGAACTTTTAACAATGACAAAACCCAAAACCGTATAGTCAGCTATAAAAGAGCCCGATATAAAAAATGTGAAACAATTCAAACTATGTTGTACGCTTCTATCAAATCAAGCTTGAAATAAAAAATACTACAGATACAGTTAAGTCTGCCTCATATCTTGACTTACATCTAGAAATTGACCATAATATTTAATATTTGGTCGAGAACAAAAGTTTCCTAAAAAGGGATGGTTTCAGCTTTCCTATTGTGAACTTTCCATTTCTATGTAGCAACATTCCAGGATCGCCTGCATATGGATTAGGTATCTCCCGATTGATACAATATTACAGAGCTTGCATTTCCTGTCATGAACCCCTTGATAGGGGTTGCTGCTTTAGATAGTAAATGGACGCGTTCACTAGCTGGTGACCACGGATATATTCCAATTATTGTAAAAACTATTGATGAACTAATGTTTTTCTCGATTGAATGATTTTACATTTTGTTATGCCGGGCCTTTTATAGCTTATACACGGTATGTGTTTTGCTCATTGTTGAAGGCCGTACGGTAACATATAGTTGCTTTTGTCTACGTCACTTGGTCTCTGGTAAATAGTTATCTCATTGAGAATCATACCACTTCTTGTTATTCTTATATAAGATCAATTTCCGGTGAACTCAGATAATTAGAAAATTGCAGTTTC